TCAGAAGCTTCATCAGGGAGCAGTGGGTGAAAGCCTCTTTCAGCATCCCTGTACTCAGAGACGCCGGCTGCTGCTGCAGGAGGGAAGCCAGCTCAGCCGGCTTCCCAAATGGCCAATCAATTCTACCTCTTCACAAAGGGCTCCCCACTCATCACCTGAGACAATCACCCCCACAGGAGTGATGCTGGGGAAAGGCCCCCATCCCTGGTCTCTTCACGAAACAGGATGCGGAGGAATCAATGCCACTTAAAGCAGCAGACAAAGGGAGGCTGGAGAGAAACCCCATCTCCTCAAGGCTGGAGCCAGGGAGTCAGCGAATCAATGGCACTTCCTAGCAGCAGGCCCGCTGACGTAAGGAACAGAGACTACTCTGAGAACTAGCCCGCTCCCCCCGCAGTGTGCATTAGCCATGTGCACACCAGGACCCCCCTCCCCCACCAGAAGGTGGGAAGGGGGAGCTCTTCCCTGATGCCTTTATGAACGGCAGGAACATTGGATAAAGGCAGCAATTAGGGTACCTGCTGGCTTGGGAATAGCTCTGTGTAATTCCTCCCTCCCATCCCCACCTCCCCCAAAGACATAGACAAAGACAATCTTGAGCCAGCAGTCTTGATGAAGAGGGAGGAGGAGGAGAACACAATTTTCAAGGTGAAAATACATATTCAAAGCCCCAGGGGAGATTGGAGGAAAATCATTTCCCCAAAATCTGGTTGCCTTAAGACCTATGAAGATGCCATCTTGCTGATTTTTCCTTCTTTCCTTCTTTTTTTCCTTCCTCCCTTCCTTCCCTGCTTTCCTTTCTCCTTTTCCTCCCTCCCTTTCCTCCTTCATTTTCTCCTGTTCTTCTTTCCTTCCTTATTTCTTTCCTTCCCTCCTTTCCTCTGTTTTTCTTTTTTCCTACTGTCTTTCCATCTTTCTTTCCTCCTGTCTTTCCATCTTCCTTCCTTCCTTCCTTCCTTCCCTCCTTCCTTTCTTTCTTTCTCTTCCTTCCCTTCTTTATTTCCTTCTTTTCTTATGTGACCTTGTTGCTCAGATTTGTGTTTACTCACATTTGTCCTTTTTGACAAGGCTTCTCCTCCCCCTAAAGCTTTAGAAGAGTTTGTTTGTGTCTTTAGCAGTTCTTTCCAGAGCTTCCCAACCCTCCTGGACTGATTTCCATTAGAGAATATTACCCTAATTTACAGGTGAGGATACAAGTAGGAAGTAGACACTGAGCTACTATGTAGAGTTGATTGGACTTGAAGTCATGGGATCTGAGTTCAGATCCTAGCTTTGTCACTTATTATGTGGAATTGGGGAAACCACTTTACTTCTGCATCTCACTTTCTTCATCCATCAGGTGAGGAAATTGATCTAGATTAAGGTTCTTTCCAGCTCAAAATATATAATCCTAAGTGTCCCAGGCAAGACTTGAGCCCAAGTCTCCTAAATCCATGTTTAGCACTCCTCCCACAAAATTAACCTTCCCAACAATTCATGCACAGGATTTTTAAAAGCAGAGATATTATTTTATAGTTTGCAAAAGCTCTTCTTTTCTCCTTCTAAAATAATTTCTTTGAGCTGTTGATTGCCATATTTGTTGGTCTAGATGTTTTTAGGTATGAGAAAGGATTCTGATAAGGGAAAGCCGGACTTAATTGGCTTCTTCCCTATTTTCTGGATTTGCGGAAACATCCCCTCAATTCTATGGCTTTCAGAAGTTTCAGCAATTAAATGCTAATCAGGAGACTGCCTTTTGGCTCTCTAAATTCCTGTTGAAAAAACATGAGGGAATTCTATTTGTGTATCTAGGCTTAGTTTTTTCTGATCCTGATTATTATGGCACCTAGAACGTCATCTCTGCTAAGACTGGCCAGCTCAATGGTGATTTTCAACATTCTTCAGGGTCTTTTCTCGGATGATTCCTTTAAAATGTCAACCAATTTCATTTATCTATAATGTGTCAGTATTCCATTCTTGGAAAAAAAAAGGTAAAATGCCACATGATTTTTAAAGTCCTCTTTGCTAGTTTTAACTATTTAAACACTCACTACTTAATTTTAAAAAAGCCTGGAGGGGATGTGAAAGGAAACTTAGAAGACAATGTTTTAAATGAAGAGAGGGAGGAATTCCCAGCCTCAGGCTATACTCCCCTTCCCTAATCAGATCGCCAATCAATCAACAAGTATTTGTTAAGTGCCAGCAATGTGCCAGGAACTGTGCTAGACTCTGGAGATACAAATAAATGAATGGAATAATCTGGGCAATGAAGAGGCTCACATATGTTAGGGGGGGTTCTTGTTTAAGTGCCAGCTGGATTAGCTGGTCTCAAAGTCCATTCTGTCTCCGAGTATCTGCTATATTTAATAGACTTCATTTAGTATAAAACATCATCATGCCTGTGAAAGTAATAACAGTCAACGCCTGGCACTTTGAGGTTTGCAGAGGGTTTTACATATATTATCCCATTTACTTATAGAACACATAATTTAAAAGAACTTAAAACTGTGGTGTAGAAGTAGCATTGAATAGTGGAGTTAGGAAGACAGGGGATCAAGACCTGCTCGTGCCCCACGTTAGCAATGGGACTATGGGCAGACACCAAATCACCCCTGACCCTTCTGTCCCACTCAGCCATGTGCCTGTCCATTCAGGCCTTCTTGCCATCTGACAAGCCTAGCCCTAGGTCACCCCTTCTAACTCCCACCCTCTACTTCTTGCTCTGGGTGCGATAATCAAATCAATGGTACCGCTACCTTTGTAAAGTCTATGTCAATTTACTCTCCTGTTCATCCACTCACCATCTCTGTGACTCACCAACCCAAAGGTCTGTTCCCTGGCCGTCAGCTCCCCCCCATCAGAGGATCCCTGAGGGCAGGGCCTTCTCTCTTCTTATATTTATCTTCCCAGCATTTAGCTTAGAATGTGAACAACTCAAGGGCAGGAACCAAGTTTTACTCACTTTGTGTCTGCAGTGCTCAGTACAGTGTCTGGAACATACTAGGATGTTAATAAATGCTTGCATTATCAGAATAGAATTTTGAAAAGCAAGTGCACAACTCTAATGTTTAGAGCCCCTGGCACAGTCTGTAACATTCTACTCTTCTCCATCGTCCCCATAATGTGAGATGTGTCCTCTCAGAAAGATGGATGGAGATGCCAATAGAGCTCATCCTTTAGTGCCCCTGCTTTTTGAAGGATAAAGTCATTATTAAAGCAAACCAAGAAATCCTCAGCCTGCTTTTGGCAGGGGGAGGGGGGAGAGAGAGAGAAAGAGAGAGAGAGAGAGAGAGAGAGAGAGAGAGAGAGAGAGAGAGAGAGAGAGAGAGAGAGAGAGAGAGAGAGAGAGAGAGAGAGAGAGAGAAAGGCGACAAGGGAAGATGGGGAAGGGAGAGAGGAAAAGAAGGGAGGGAGAGAGAGAAAGAGAGACAGACACAGAGAGACAAAGGAGAGAGAGAAAAAAGAGAGGGAGAGAGATAGAGAGAGACAGATGGAGAGACAGAGAGAGAGAGAGAGAGAGAGAGAGAGAGAGAGAGAGAGAGAGAGAGAGAGAAAGAGAGAGAAAGGAAAGGAGGGAGGAGAGAGAAAATCAGGCAATGTCTGGATAACTGAAGTTTCCCTTCACCACTATATAATGCTTTTACATTTTTCTCTCTTACAGGAAAATGGTCCCTCCCTAGAACTGGCAGGAAAGACCATTTATATCCACCTGGCTTTTATCACTGAGGGATAAAAGGAAATATGGGAAATAATGAGGGTTTCTATAATATGAAACAGGGTAGATGTTTTCATATCCCAGGACTTAGGAGGCATTTCATTTAATTGGTGTCTGGGGATTTGACCCAGAGATTCCATACCTCTGCTTCATTTCTAGGGAAGGTGGCCAATATTCCCTCATTATTGGCCAACTGGGACTTTTTCAAATTATGCTCTTCCTTTCCTAAACGTTTGTCACCTGCTGCTTAAAGAGTGGAAAGGGCCGGTCCTTACTATCTGGGCTTTCACAGCCAGCATGGCTGGGAGATTGGAAGTCTGAGTTTGGAGGCAGAGGTTTAAGGCCTGAGCTGCCAATACACTCAGCATGTTTCTCATGTACCCATTTCTCTCCACTCAGCCAAGCACAGACCTGTCTTGAAGCTCAGCAGCTCTCTCCTACACTATCATAATAGTGTCCTAGCTGGTTTCCCTACTGTCCAGTTAGTCAACAGACATTTATTAAGCACCTATTATATACCCAGTGCTGGGGAAAAGTGCTGGGGAAAAATAGAGAGACAAAAGATAGCCTCTGCCTTTGTGGAATTCCTAAGTGAATGGAGGAGACAACAAACCGCTAAGCGCATATGAGCAAAATGGAACCACATCAGTTGGAGAATGGATTAAAAAAATGCACAGTATAGGAATGTAACGGGCTATTATATCCCCCTAAAAAAGGAGGAATATGAAGAATTCAGAGAAGTGTAGGAAAGCTACACTGATCGATGTAGAGTGAAGTAAATAGTCAAGAAAGCAATGAACACACCAAGGCCAATGGAAAGACCAATAGAATGAAATGGAACGATGTGTAATTATAATGACCCAATTTGGGGCATCTCCCCTCATTGTACAGTTGAGAGAGTATGGATGTAGAATATTACATACTCTGCCAGATGGGGCCCATGTGCTGGTTGGGTTTGTTGAGCTTTTAATTCTGGTTTTAGTTTTCATTTGTTTTAAAACCTTTTTTGCAAAGGATGACGCACGAGATAAATGAAGACTATATTCAGAAATTAATGGAATGTAAAAGGCAAAGAAATCAATAAGAAAAAAATAAGCAGATAAACAAAGGACCCAAGAATGAGGAGATGAGACAAAGTAACCTCTAGGGGCCCTTCCTGTAATATTTCTTACGTGATATTCCTCTGTGGTGTCTTTCGCCTCTTTTTGTATCCCAAGCCCTTAGCACCATGACTGGCATGTAGTGGCTACTTAATAAATGTTTACTGAATCGCATTGGTAACAATGGACAAACCTTCATGTTTCAGGAACTGGAAGACAGTCTTACAGATGGATTACAGATTCATACACTGTGAGTGCCATGTGGTTCCAGAGTATCCTCATGCCCATCCTCATTCTGGGCATAGTTCCTGGGCTCTCCTGTTCCCTGGCAGCTTTCTCACCCTGGAAGATCGTTTCTCCACTGAGGTCCCATCTTTGGACTGGTGTGTTCTTCCTGGGACCGCCATTTTGAGCAAGTGCCTTGTCCAATCATGCTTATTTCAGTACTCCTCCACTGGTCATGCTCTTGACTCTCCAGCCTGCTCTGTTGTGCTCCTACAGGGCTGTCTTCTTCCCCTGCCCACCCTTCCTTTCATTTCCCTTTTATGCATGTCTTCTCCCATTAGACTCTAAGTACCTTGAAGGCAGGGACTGTCTTTCTTGTAGCTTGTATTCCTATTCCTAGTACTAAGCATACTAAGCCTGGCATACAGTAAGTGCTTAATAAATATTTGCTGACTGCTTAACTACTAAGTGCCAGATACTCTGACCAGTGCCCGGGGTTACTAAGACAAAACTGAAAACTTGCCCTCAAGAATCTTACATTTCAAACTTGTGATTACCATGGAAGATAGGTAGTGCTGACATTATCATACTCATCTTATGGATGAGAAAGTTGAGGTTTGTACAGCGTGAAGGACTGATAACAGATTGAATTTGGCCAGACATAAGGATGAACATCCCCCAAATTAGAGCTATCCCAAAATGGGATTGATAGCTGGGGAGGCATCCTAGGTTTCCCATTGCTAGATGTCTTTTAACAAAGACTAGATGGCCACTTTCTGTCTATATTATGGAAAGGATTCTCAAGGAGATAGGGATTCAGACCTCTGCCTTCTTAATTTCCTTTGATTTCTGAGGTTGTGAGATCCTGTGCTTAGTGAAGCAATGGATAGAATACTGATCTTTGGATCATGACAACCTGAGTTCAAATATTGCCTCAGATGCTTACTAGCCACGTGACCCTGGGCAAGTCATTTAATATCTCTGTGCTTCAGTTTTCTCAAATGTAAAAGGAAGGGTTTGAACCTATTGATTTCTAAGCTCTAGATGACAAGTTCTTAACCTGTCATGGATAAAGGGATCCATGACCTTGTAAAGGAAAAAAATAAAATTTTGTTTTCATGAACCTTTAGCTGAAATTCAGCATTTCCTTCAAAGAATATTTTTAAGAGCCATTCTTCTGAGAAAGGGATCGTAGTCTTCCTCAGATTGCCCAGGTTAAACCTCTTCTTTAGATCTATACTTCTATGATCAGAGTATCACTAACTGTGAGATCCTAGACCAGTCATTTAACTTTCCTCAGTTCGGTTTCTTCGTCTGTAAAGTGTTGAGGGGGGAGAGGGGGGAGAGAGAGAGGAGTGTTCTCAATGACCTCTAAGGTCCCATTCTGCTCTAAATCTCTGGTCTGATAACTGGCCATACAACCCACATCTTACCAATGGCCAAACGGAGATTCAAAATCAGGGAAAACCTGGGGGCTAAATGGATAAAGCATCAGCCCTAGAGTCAGGAAGACCTGAATGCAAATCCAGTCTCTGTTATTCAGTAGCTATATGACCCTGGGCAAGTCACTTAACCTCTGTCTGACTTAGTTTTTTTCATCTGTCAAATGGGGATAATAACAGCATCTACCTCCCAGGGTTGTTGTGAGCATGAAATGAGATAATAATTGTGAAGTGCTTAGCACAGCACCCAGCACATCATAAGTGCTATAAAAATGCTAGCTATTATTGGTATTATTTAACCCAGATCTCTCACTGAGTATTTTTACCACTGCTCAACTGTTCTGGAGAGGCCCCTCCCATTGGAAACCCTGGGAAGCCTGGGTAGAAGCCAGGAGGAGAAGGTAAGAACATCAGGAGTGAGCTGAATGGATGGACACGATAGTCAACCTTGCAATTCGTTGTCTGCCAAGAGCCCTCCCGCAAGTCAGTAGGAATGCCAGCCAGCCTCTGACGCCCAGAGCGAAGCAATGACGGAGACAGGAAATCAATGACAAAAAAAGGAGAAAGGGAATGCCTGCTGTGACAAGGTCTATTTTCTCCCCCTTCCCCAGGTCTCTGTGCACCTGGCCAGAGGAAATCTTCCTTCAGAAGAGGTGTTGGTCACCTGCAGGCCAGATTTGAGGGGGATGTTTGTATTCTGTCCCTCGTAAATTATTCTCCTAACCAAGTATCTCTTTAGTCAACTGCTTACTCAGCTTTAGACTCCACTGGTGAGAACAGAGGAAGAGAAACCAGATCTCTGAGCTGGTGTGCCCCAGCTCCTGGTCAAGTGTTGGTTCATCAAAGAGAGGGTTGGGGTGACTCATTAACCCCAGGGTGAGTAGAGGGATGCAAACAAAGGGTCCTTAAGGCTCTGCAATTGGGCGATGGGCTGGGGAGGGCCGGCTGGGCTGAAGACTTTCAGAGCCAACTTGCCAGGGAAAAGAGACACCCCAAATCAAAGCATCGGGCTGGGGTTTCAAGCAAAATGCAACTGACCCCCAACTAACTGGCCAGGCTCACATTACATGGTTCCTTTTCACATCATATTCATTCCAATCAAATTGACTTAGTAGCCATTAACTTAATTTGACATTTCATCAAGTTCCCCAAGTCTGCTAGTGCCTGGAATGCATTCCTTCCTCACCTAAAGGTCCTCTTCAAGAACGAAGGACAAACAACAACAACCCTTTTAGACACCTGCTCAAGTCCAGCTTAAGGATCATCTCCTACACCGTGCTTTTCTTTTTGCTTTTTTTCCCCCTCTGATCCACCTCAAGTCAACAAAACACTTATTCAGTGCTGAACACTGTGCTATGTGTTGGGATAGAAAGAAAGTCCCTCCTTTCCCCTCGCAAGTTCTTTCTCCCTCCTGCATCTTTGTACCAATCAATGTAAAGATGTCTTGACCATGTGAGGCTCACCAAGAAGAGCAGAATTCTAAAGACAGGGAACTGCTGGGCTGGCAAAAATCTTTCCTCCTCCTCATTGATTCCCCTCCTCCCCACTCCCGACAGGGGCTTTGCCATGACCTTGGGAATGGAAGTGGGCTTGATTTTAGCTGGCAAGTTTATGATCCCAATCCATTCCTGGGACATGCGGGAAGAAGAAATACCAGGAAGGCATGAGGGAACTGGGAGATGGGGAAGTTCCAGGTGTCTGGGCTTTGTGGAGTTGTCTAAGGAAGGGCACCGGCACCTGAAAGGCAGGGAGAATCTTGCATTGCTCTAATGTTTGGGCTGCTGACGGACATTCCTGATGGTTCATTCCCTCCCCCTACTCTCTCTGTCTGTGTTGTGTCTCTGTTTCTGTCTGTCTCTCTCTCCTAGTTTTTGAACTTAGTGCTTCCTTCTGGACATAGGAGGTTTATCCTGTTTTATTTTATTTTTTAATTTGCTTACTTTTTGTGTTTAAACATTGAATTTGTCTCTTAAGCAAGAAAATATGATTAAGCTGTTATCTGACCACATGGTTAAACCCTCTTCTTGCTATTGTTTAGAGGGCAATGAAAGACATGATTGGAAACCCAAGGAAGGGAAGAGAGAGAGACTTAAAACTGTGATATTTTAATGGCATTCACTTTCTAATGGGGGCTCAGCATTAACAAAGTTGGATCTGTTAAAGGTTCCTGGCACTTTAAAAATGTCTCATGAAAGAGAGAATGTATTTATTGAGGTTCCTATAGGCAAATGAAACAGCAGCTGTGACTGGGCAGCTGATTAGTTGGGTTCCTATTGACTTGCCATTGAAAGGAAATTGATTTGCCGTTGAATATGGAGAGTGAAAGTCATGACCCAAAGAGAGGAATAATCTGGCTGACACAAAAGTTGTGTGTGTATGTATGTATGTATGTATGTGTGTGCATGTGTGTATATGTGTGTGTACATGTTTATGTGTGTGGGGAGGTGGAGTAAGAGTGGCTGATTCTTGCCTCCTTTTTTTTGTTTCTTTACCAACACAAGAATTCAAATCCTAGTGCTACACTTATCTGTGTGCCTGCTATGTCCCCCTAATACAATGTGAGCTTCTTGGTTTTGTCTTTGACAGGATGTCCCCAAGACCAAGCACATTGCCTGACACAAAGAAGATTTGTGTGTAATAAATATCTGTTCAATTTAGTTAAATTGAATTTGGGTCTTGATAGGTTGAAATACTCCCTGCTTATTATATAATGACGCTTGGACTTGGAATTAGAAGACCTGGGTTTGAATCCTGACTCTACCACTTACATTTGAAGTGTACTTGGGCAAGTACTTATTTCTAGGTCTCAGTTGCCTCATCTGTTAAAGGAATAATTTGGATAAAATGACCTCTAATATTATTCTTAGCTTTAAATCTTACATGTCTGGGTGATCTCTAAGCTAAACATTCTATAATGATTCCAAGACCTACCTCTAATATTGTTCTTTCCATGGTGTCTTTCCTGAAAATGCTTTAGGTAAAAAAAAATGCCTACTTTATCTGCTCTCAAAGCTATTAATACTTATCTTAGACATAGGATCTCATGCTGGGGGAAAGGGGTTGGAGCCAAGATGGCAGAGGCAGGAACTCAGCAAAACTCTTTTACCATCTCCCTCCAAATAACTCTAAAACAACTCCTCAAATTGCATTTTGGAGTGACAAAGCCAGAAAAAGGGAAGAGTGACATATATTTCCAGCCTAAGACAATTTAGGAGGTCAGTAGCGGAGATCTGTGACACCAGGGCAGGGGAGGCAGCCTGGAGAACATTCAGAGGCAACACTATAAGTGGGCATTGGGTGTGGCCATGCACAGCACCAGCAGCAACTTCTGGAGGTTTCAACATTGAGACTATAAGGGGGTCAACTAGTCAGAAAGAGATTATAGGGGTCCCTTTGCTAGCACTAGGCATGAGACACTGTTGAATTACCCATACACAGCTCCAGGTTACAGTTCCAAGGTGAAATGGAACACTAGCACCTGTGGCTGTTAAAGATTAGGGAACCTGGTCATAGTGCCTGGGCCAAGAGGAATGCCAGCATTTGTGGTTGAAGGGAAACATAGGCCTTTCCTGTGTAATGATCAGAGCACAGAATAAGAGAGCAGTGACCACACCTCTCTCCAGATCACATTACCTTGGAAGCACCAAAAACTTTCAGACCCTCAGAACTAGCAGAAGGCCTGAAACTTAGGACAGTGCCTCCCCACTCTCAGGTCGGCAGAGACTAACTTTAATGAATTTAAAAGTCAAGAAATAGACTGGAAAAGTGAGAAAATAATAACAACAACAAAAAGAACCTGATCATCAAAATCTACTATGGTGCTAGGGAACACCAAGACACAAACTCAGAAGACAACAATGTGACAACAGCTACAAGCAAAGCCTCAAAGAAAAAAAAATGTAAAATTGGACATAAGCCAAACATGAATTCCTGGAAGATTTAAAGAAAGAGATAAGAGTGGTAGAGGAAAATTTGGGAAAAGAAATAAGAGTGATGCAAGAAAATTATGAAAAGAGAATTAACAACTTGGCAAAAGAGACACCAAAATACTGAAGAAAACAATACCTTAAAAAACGGAATTATCCAAATGGTAAAAGAGGTAGGGAAATTCACTGAAGAAAAGAACTCCTTAAAAAGTAGAATAGTCCAAATAGAAAAAAAAGAGGTTCAAAATCTCACTTCCTAAATAAATTAAAATTGGGCAAATTGAAGTTAATGATTCCATGAAACATTAAGAAGCAATAAAATAAAGTCAAAAAATGAAAAAAAAAGAAGAAAATGTGAAATATGACATTGGGAAAAACAAAGCAAGACCTGACTTATAAAATAGATACAGGAGAGATAATCTAAGAATTATTGGACTACCTGAAAGCCATCATCTAAAAAAAAAGCCTTGATTTCATATTTCAAGAAATTATGCAGGAAAACTGCCCTGATATCTTAGATCCAGAGGGAAAAATAGAAATTGGAAGTATCTACCATTTGCCTCCTGAAAGAGATCCCAAAATGAAACCCCCCAGAAATATTTTAGATAAATTCCAGAACTCCCAGGTCAAGAAGAACATATTGCAAGCAACCAGAAAGAAAGAATTCAAATATCATGGAACCACAGTAAGGATTACACAAGATACAGCAGTTTCCATGTTAAAAGATCAGAGATCTTGGATGATATTCCAAAAGG